GGTTTAGTTCTGACTCTGGACCCATCAGGAGACCAGAACCTGGTTTAGTTCCATCAGGAGACCAGAACCTGGTTTAGTTCTGACTCTGGACCCATTAGAGACCAGAACCTGGTTTAGTTCTGACTCTGAGGACCAGAACCTGGTTTAGTTCTGACTCTGGGCCCCATCAGGAGACCAGAACCTGGTTTAGTTCTGACTCTGGACCCCATCAGGAGACCAGAACCTGGTTTAGTTCCATCAGGAGACCAGAACCTGGTTTAGTTCTGAACCTGGTTCTCAAGGTAAGTTTGATAGTTATTTAGAAAGAAAATGAAAAGGCTAATTGAATGTTTCACTTAAATAATTCGGAGATCCTTCAGGATTTTCTTTGACCGTGTAAAATAAAAACAAAAACTTACTTCCTGTCGATGAGCACTTGGGCTTTCCGGTTGTTTACTTGATTGTCGCTCCTGTGGCGGTTCTGGAAAAGACAGAAGTGAGTCAGAAAAGTTCAAGAGAAACTCGATTAGTTCACCGATTAGTTAATCTGTTCTGGGAAAATAAAAACTCACATCACATGTCAGCTCTTTTTCTCTTTTTTTTGTAAATCATCATCAAATTCCTGGATTCTCAAACCAAGTTCTGCATAACTCAACAAGAAAATCGCCTTATATTTTAGGCTCTGTAGAACCAGTGAGGAGGGAATGCAGGTTAATAGCAAACTTATGTTTTCTTTTTAAAGTAATTATTAACAAGAAAACCACATTTAGAATAACATACATCAGGTTAAGGGATAACTATTCAAATATCCTACTTCAGTCACTCTTAAATTACTTTAAAGCCTGATCCAATAGGAAGAATGTTGGATTTTTTTTAGTCTGAAGTCTTTCTTTGGCCCCTCAACAACATATGAAGAAAAAAAACAGAAATTATTTTGATCAAATTAGTCAATAAGTCAAAACTATATGTTGGTGTGGTCTTCTACTGGCTGTTATCAGGTATATCTGAATGTGTACAACAGGGGTTTGAGCAAAGCTTTTACCACTGAATGATGCAAAAAGTCTCAGATCCAAAAGATTTCAGAAACCGTCTGAATCAAATGTGACACATTTGGCATTATTGGGATAAAATATCTAACTTCAGTAACTCTTAAACTACTTTAAGGCCACACGGAGATGTAAAAGTCAGCTTTTGAAGTGCTAAAAAAAGCGAATTGTGTGTTAGCATGACAAAATCCTTAAAATGTAAATAATAATTATTCACTTAGTCATTCATCTGATTAATTTAAATCATTTCAAATCATTTTAAGACCTGTCAAATCTTCCAGAAGCCCTAACTGACTGGCCTTGAAGTCTTTTAACCCTATAATGCCAAATGTATCATATCTGATTCATACGGTTTCTGAAATGTTTTGCGTCTGACTCCTTTTGCATAATTTAATGGTAAAAACTTTGCTCAAAATCCTATTGTACACAATCAGATACACCTGATAACAGGGGGCAGAACACTACACAAAAAATAATCTTGACTTATCGCATAGTAATAAATTATTAATATTAAAAATGTATTTCTGTTTTTTCTTTTTACATATTTTGTTAAAAGGCCAAATAAGGAATTCAAACAAAAAAAAAGTAATTTTCTGTTTTGCTTTATTCTTGGATCAGGCTTTAAAGGGTTAAACCCGTTGTGGAACAGATGTGGTTATCTGATAACCTCAGTTTATTATTATTGCCCTGGTTTTCAAATCTGAAGACCACTTTAATAGAAATAAATGCTATTCGAGTGTCCTAAATGCTAAAGCAGACTTCAGACTTTGATGAGTCTTCTTTGTTTTAAACTGGATT